ATCTATCCCACCTATTCCACAATGAAATTGGCCTTGTGCTTTGTTTGGTTGTTCATTCTCCTTGCGTGCATAAGGGAATTCATCCTCTAAAAAGGTAACATTCTTGATGCAAAGAACATGTCGGACTCTAAATCATACAACCTCCATCCTTTTTTTCCAAAAGGATACCCAACAAAAACACACTGTTTGCTTCGACCGACAAATTTATCCCCTCCATGTCCATGATTGTGTGCATATGCCAAGCAACCAAAAACTCGCACATTATCATAAGGAGGTTGCCCAAATAAAACTTCATAGGGAGTCTTTCCCTTCAACAAAATGGACGGTGTCCGATTGATTAAATAACATGCGGTCAATACACATTCTCCCAAAAAATCAATAGGCATGCTAGCTTGAAAATGTAATGCTCGGGCAACATTGAGTATGTGGCGGTATTTGCGTTCAACCCTCCCGTTTTGTTGAAAGGTCTCGACACAAGTGGTTTGATGAATAATACCATACTGAGCAAAATAACTAGCCAAGCAGACAAACTCAATCCCATTTTCAGTACGAACTACTTTGACAGGTTTGTTAAATTGCCTTTGAACCATAGCAAAAAAGTTTTGAAAAACTTGTCCCACTTTTGTTTTATCAATCAGAATATAAACCCAAACACCTCTAGAAAAATCACCTACTATTGTCAAGAAATAATGAGCACTACAAGAAGCTGCAGTTCTATAAGGACCCCATAGATCACAGTGAATTAACTCAAAAATATCGGATGCTTTATTATTACTAGAAACAAACCCTTCTCAACATTGTTTAGCTCGGAAGCATATATCACAACCCTTAATACTGTCATCCTTATTATTTTTAGTACTAACAAAAGGCAGCAACTTAACAATTTTATGAGAAGGATGTCCTAACCTTTGATGCCAAATATCACAGGTCTTGCTATCTGTAGTCTTCATTGCTCTTGCTAATGCAATGCTCCGGAAATAATAGAGTCCCTCTCGCTGCTCACCCGCTCCAATCAGCATCCTCATAGTTCAGTCCTGTATCACACAGAATTTATTAGAGAACCGAACAACACAATTCGACTCCTCAATCAATTGCGACACAAATTAGATTGCAATGCAAAATAGGCACATGTAAAACATTAGTCAATTTTCGATGATCGTCCAGCGCAACTGTGCCTTCTTTCTCTGCTATTGTCGCTTTCCCATCTGGCAGCCCGACAGAGCATGGAATGATATTCTTTATGTCACTCATCGACTCAATTCTTCCTGTCATATGATGAGAAGCCCCTGTGTCTATTATCCACTCTGACAATTTTCGCTTACCACTTAGTTGTTGATTCCCCTTTTCTGTGTGTTCAAAAAGTTGAGTAACATGTTCCACTGCTCACAACTTAGTCTATTTAACTCAGTCTTGACTGCATCGATTGATTCTCCTTGAGACGCATTGCCTTGCGCAAAGACTTTGGTTGTATTGGCCCTGACTTGGCCGCCATGACCTTTTCCTCCTGCCCCTGCTCCATGATTCCCCCCGCTCGCATCCACTCCGCCTTTCCGTCCAAACGGATTCGTTATATCCAAGACCGCGTTGTTGTTCCCGTCAAGCACTACTCCAACGTCCAGCGACGACGAAGAGACGCTCTGGCTAATTGTTGGAGTGGTGTAGTCGTAAGAAGGATCGACAGAAACCCATATCAAAGCAGCGATCAGAGGTATTCATCAGTGGTGACGGAGGGCGTTTCGTATGCACAGGAACTACACTATCAGCATTGGCGTTGTTCTGGTGGTGATACCTCGTCTCCATGGACGACTTGTAGTCAAGATCGAGATAAGGATCCACGTCGGAGAAGAAATAGTCGCCTGACTTCAGATTGGGTGTTTCCATGAGTTTGGCAGGGTTAGGAAGTAACCAAGAAGCAGCTTCGGCCTCCTCGCGGTAGGTGTCATTGTCTTCCTCTTTGTCGTTACGATCGTCATCGACGTCCGAGAACTTAAGGAGACCATCAGGAACAAGGAGGCTGGCTACGTTAGATTTCATGGCGGAGGCAGCCGATTCATAGATTGAAACGACAGGAATTCACCCGTGCCACCGAGCGAATGAGTTTGCCGAGTGGTGTCTCGGTCGCAAGTGACGCAGAGGGCAGCAGCGTCAGTCTCATAGGTGACACTGGCCGGGGCTTGCTCACAGACCTCACACATCCAGACTCGCTCGTGCCGGGAGGCGAGCTTGTTCGTGCCATGAACCTTGGTGTCGCAGTCGAAGCAGAGGAACGTCGAGTCTGCCCGACAGAACAATAGGGCCAACGCCGATTTGCACGAATCACAGGGCTTTGCCAACAAGCTCCAACTCGCTGGGTATCCCTTTCCGCTTTCGTCGTCGATGGCCATCTCACTTACTCAAGCAAACAAAGCGGATCGTTTCGTGTTGACCAGACTGAATGTGCCCTCTGCCTGGTTCAGTTGGAGGAAGGAGATATCGTACGTTGGTTGCCAAACTATTGACATGCCTTCCACCTACGTTGCATTGATCAGTGGTTCACTTCTCACGCGAATTGCCCGCTCTGTCGATCGCCCATTGCGACAGCATCCGTGTCCATAGCATTGTCGATGCCCTCTACTGGGGCCGAAGCAGAGGAAGACAGAGGCCACGATCGAGTTGAGGCTCATAGCCAAGTTGGAACTGGCGGCCACCAAGTTGGGGTTAACGATTCCATTTCACAGTTGGCTCACTCGTCAAATCGTTTGCTTCGACACTGTGCTTCTCTTATTTGGCTCTGATACCATTTAAAACCAGAGTTTTTCTGGTTTCTCCTTTATCTTATCATTCATTGAGGATTCAAATATATATATACAAACTCAAACCTATCTTTCCTATCTCAACTATATAAGATAAGGATTAGAAGAGAACGTTGACTCCTACTCCGAATTCGATCCTAACTCAGCGGAGTCTCCTAATCCCGGAGACTCCTAATTCAATCCTAACACCCCATCAAAATGCCGACAAAACCGAATCGGCATGGACTTTTACATCGATAATGCCGTTTCCAAACGCAGCTTAAGGAATTGTTCTGCATTTATCTGTTTCAGTTCCCCGATCATTTTCAATGCTGGTAAGATTTCGATTATGATATGAGTTCCCTGTACTCTATGCTCCTTGGGTGGCTTCGGGTGCAACTCAATCCATTCGAAGCATTGGTCTCAAAGGAGCCAATGCCTTCTCTGATACCGCGCTCACGTCTCATTCAACTGAATTGAAGCAGTCGTGAACTCTCATCTGCTATGCACTTTTAACTTTTTTTATGCTGTTTTTGTAGCTGAAAGATATGCAGACTGGGTAATGCCGTAATGGGGGTGATAATAGAGCTATATTTTGTGTTCCGAAGGGCCGTTACTTGAGAGAGAATATTACAAATTATACCAATAAATGATAAATCTCAGCTCGGGGTTTACCAAATGTTTGGATGTCTATTATAAACTGGGCAAAGCTTCACATGTTTGGTTCAGACTTCAGAGAGGGTCTGTCTTATTACCACATTCTCTGAGCGATTTGCTCTTCCAAACCTCTTATTCAAATTATTGTTTACATTTTTCACTTCTTGAAATTCCAAGCACAAAATGTTTTACTGTTTAAAACACTGTTAAAATTGTACACATGGCACTCTTAAAACGAGGGTTAAAGTTGTCTTTTTGAAAAAAAATAAGTGTTTATTGGAGAAAAAACCACCAAACCACCAACCACAAAAAAGGTGGGTGCCAAATGCAAATAAGTGCTTATTTGCAACCCTGATTTTACGAACTGCCTTTGTATCAAACCCCAAACAAGTCAATATCAGCCTATCACGGTCTTAAATTCTTAATCCCTAAAAAGGTTTTATTACTTTCAGTATCTTTTAGAAATATCTTTTATTAGGATGAATGGATAAGCAACATTAGCAAATATGGGGTTTTCAAAGCTTTAGTTAGCAAGCAAAACAAACAAACCTTAAAATGTTCCTCACCTGTGCACCTTTTGAAAATGCTGTCTGCGCCTTTTAAATCATTGATCAAGTATCACTCTAAATCCTTACAACAAAAAGATTAGCTGAACTATCCACTAATAATATTGCTAGTAGAGAGCTATCCTTGATCAGACCAAAAACAGAATTAATCATAGATTCCACCAAACTATGTTTGCTCTAAAAAACTCTTGAGTATTTCTTTCCATCCATGTAGCCGAAAAATAGCCAAAGAGATCACCGCCCAAGCTGACCTGCCTTGCCTACTCATATTTTGAATATGCCACCGACGCAGAAAGCTCACCAACAGAATTAGGACGACATCCTTGCCAATGAATTGCATTCTGAAAATGAATCCATATTCTGCTAGTGAATTTACAATGGATGAATATGTGGCTAGAAGACTTGAGCTCCCCTTTCTCAATAAGTACTCTTTTGACTGGCATTTGTCCAGCACCACCAAGTATAAGGAAAATCTGTCAACCCTTCAGAAAGATTCTTGTAGAAAGATCTGAGAATTTACTGGAACCGTGCCATTTCCAATCTCAGGAGTAGCTCTCAGAACATTGTAATCCTGATTCTGGATAAAAATAAAGCAGGTCAGAAACTTGTCTCGATTCCCCGTCATTGAAATTTCTCCTAAAAAAACACCATTGCCTCTAACAATACTGCAGGAGTCTCTGCGACCATTCATCCTGGTTGCATGCTAACACGATTGCCATCACACCAAATGTCTCCCCAGAATCTAACTCTTCTGCCATTCCCAGCCTTGTGTTTTATTCTTCTCAAGAAACAAGGATAAGCCTTGTATATACCCTCTCCAAAGGCTGCACCCACAAGAAATATCTGGAATTTTTGCATCCTACACATTGCCAATGTGTACAATAAACCTTGATTTTGAGTACATTTCAAACGTCATTGCACCCCCACTGCTTCATCTCCAGCAGGGATCTGACAAGTTCAAACAAGCCAAAACTTCAAACTGCTCCAAGTAGTTTTTTTTTTTTTTTGGKGGGGGGGGGGCGGGGGTTGTTAGGAATTCAATAGTTTACTGCAAGCCCAAGAAATGGGGGTTAAGCAGTGGTCATATGAAATGACAATAGGTAAAAATTAATATAAAGGGAAAAAAAGAGAAGGAAAAGAAATGAAATGAAATGACAAGAGGTAAAAAAAAAAATAGAAAGGAAAAAAAGAGATGGAAAAGAATTCACAACTTGTTAAAAGGAAAAAGAGCATTTGAGCTTGGCAGTCATCTTCTGAAATGGTACAGTTTTATAAAGGCAAAATGGGAATGAATATATATATATATATTTATTTCTTAATTGAATAAACTCATTTTGATGGAATCATTAAATGACCTTGCAGTATTTTATCAACAGGATGTAACTAAATTTTAGTACTGAAATTGTGTTCTAAAATGTAAAGGCACAATAATGACTTTTCATTGACACCCAAACAGGCTAGTAGTAATATAACTTCATCTTTGCATCACCTGGACCTTTGACCTCAGTCTAAGTGTTGGTTTCTGCTACATACAGTCTTTCTTTACTAATTTAGATTCCGGAAACACCCATCTCAGGGATAAGCCTGTACACCACCAACATAAGTTGCCTCAACAAATGCTGCCTCTGCTACAAAGTCATCCCATGAAACAGTCCAGAGGAAAAGTGTCCTTGGCGGTTCAGAAATGAGATTAAAAGGTTCAGAAGACTGTCAAAAGATATGCAAATATTAATACAATAGGTTCCAAGGTCGACTAACAGTCTAGCAGATCAACTAGCAAAACAAGGGGTTAGAAGAGAACATGCTTTTTGTATAAAAAAAAAAAAAAGGAAAAAGAGAACATGCTTTCTGGGCACAGATGTAAATTTAAAAGCAAAATCCTGGGGCTATTACTGTTTATTTCTTTGATTGTTGAATGGGTAGCTGAGGCTACTCAATGTTGTAAATTCTGTTTTCTCTATCAATAAAAGCTTCTTTTTACTGATAAAAAAAGTCATCCCATGAAACAATTGATAATATAACAAAAACCTACCAATTTTCCAGGATCTTAGATGCCAAATTATTAGCAAGGAAGCTTGCATGGGCAGCTGGAATGGTCTACCTGCCATGGAAAAATCCACATCAAATGAAAAAGTAGAAAAGTAAACTAATGCAGAAACTTCAAAGATTGGGTTTTTCTAAATATTTTAATCAAAAAGTAATATGAAGTAATGTCCTGGTTTCTTGAGGACTGTTTTCCCTAGATCCTAGCCTGTTTGTTAGTTTTATATTTGATTTCCCTCCTAAAATTGACATTTCAATTTGTCCCTCTAGTAAATAGTAGAAAAATCAATAGATTCCACTACCATATACCATTTAATTGTGTTAATTATAATTAATTCTTCTCCCAGAATTTTGTACTGCTTCCTTTTGCTTTTTTGGATCAATCTACTTCCTTTTGCCTTACCTTCTAATCTTCTATTAGTGGATAACTAATTCTGATTTAGAATATAAAATGGGCTATAAGACTCTCCATGTGCAAAAGCATATGGAGGTCTTTGCTAGTATTCTTAAATTTCAAATTACTATCAAAAAAAGTTGTCATTCTATTATCTTCATCATTACAGAACTCTAAAAGTTATTGGAGTTGCTAACAAATTTAGCTTATTAAAAAAGAACTAGTAAGCTTACAGTTCAGACCCTAGGGCATCTCTCATATATGTATGCGAATTACATTTATTATCTAATATGAATATTTCTATTATGCAATTAAAATATTAGAGAGTGAATATTGAGCTATGGCTAATGAGAAGGTATTTTCTGCCTTGTAGTTGCAAATTTTTTAAGCATTTTAGATCTCCTATCCATTAAAGGTATTCTAATGTTTTGGAGTTTTATGTTCCACAGGATGAAATCTGGTGGTCTGGCCTATGAAAAGATAAGGGTATCAGACTTTTAAATGATTAAATGAAAATTTGCCCCAAGGCTTTTGAATTTCTTTTATTACACTAGAGGACAAGTGTTGATGCATAGATAACAGTAGTTTCTTAACAGAGGGAACATTTTTAAGAGATAGAAATTGCAAAATTTACCAGATTCATTGAAACTAGAGGACAAGTCTCAACAAGGTACCTCTTAGTCACATATTCCTTGTGCTTTCAACCTATTTGAGAGGACAAAGGGAAAAGCAAAAGTGGCCTAAATAGAATATGAAACAGAAACTACAGGCTGTGTTGCAAATTAACACAATAAAATCTTCAAAAAGAGGCAAAATTACAAGGGAAGAAAGTACCTCCATTAAGTCCAAGGCATGTTGCTTGAGGAACATAAGGGAAGCCCAGTGCACAAGGCTTCCATCAATGCATGGCCTGCGGAGGGACAGATGTAATTGTATGCATCCTGAACCCTGCACATACAGAGAGGCTGTTTCCAAGATTTGAACCCTGGTCACCCAGGTCGCAATGGAGCAACCCAACTGTTGCGCCAAGGCCCACCCTTGCTGTTGCTTGGGGAACATGATATGTCTTAATGATTGAAAAAAGAATGGTCTTTAAAACTTATCATCCGGAACAAAACCCCTCTGCAGCATTTCATCATGTAGTCGAAAAGCCTCTTTCAAGTTGTCCTGTGCAACATGTCCATTTATCAATGATGTATATGTGTATCTATCAGGCTCTATGCCTCTCTCAATCATTTTCCTGAATATTTTATTTGCTTCTTGCATTCTACCTTCTCCACAGAAACCGTTCAGGAGTACATTATATGTGACAACATCAGGTATAATCCCTCTATTTTCCATATTGTTAAGCAAAGCAAAAGCCCTCTCCATATTTTCGTCCTTTACAAACCCATGAATGATAGTATTATATGTTATCTTATCAGGTGAGATTCCTTTTGTGATCATCTTATTCGTGAACTCTTCAGCCTTAGTTGCATCACCTGAACGACAGTAACCTTTAATAAGAGAGTTACATGTCACAATATTGGGTTCAATTCCTTTGTTCACCATCTCATCCCATAATCTAAATGCCTCACTCACTTTCCCTCTACTGCAGAGTTCATTGATTAAAATGCTGTATGAAATGTGATTAGGAAGGATTTCTCTAGAGATCATATCATCCCACAACTTGTTAGCCTTTTCCACATCCCCTTCTCTGCAAAATCCATCAATCAAAGTATTATATGTAACGATATCTGGCTTGACATTCCTCTCAATCATCTTCTCAAACAAAGCTAGTGCTTTGTCTGCAAACCCATCCTTACAGTACCCATGAATGAGTGTGGTGAAACTGTAATAATCAGGAAATATCCCCCTTTCCACCATTTCATTGAAAAGCTCATCAGCATCAGATAACCTCTTCTCCTTGCACAGCCCATTTAAAATTGTATTGTATGTAACAACATCTGGGAGGCAACCTTGCTCCACCATTTCATCCCGCATCTTAAGAGCATCTGATATATCCCCATTTCTACAAAACCCTCCAATAAGCATTGTATAGATAACACTGTCTGGAACCAAGCCAGCACCCTTCATCTGTTTGAAATATTTCAAAGCCCGTTCTAGATCTCCTTTCCTAGAAAACAAACCAACAAGAAAGCTAAAGCTAACTAAATCAGGAACAAGACCATGATGGCACATTTCATAAAAAGTTTCTTCAGCATCAGTTGTATGACCTTTTCTACAGCATTCACCAAGCAATATATTATAAGTAGATGTATCAGGACTCAACCCACTTTGCAACATTTCACCCAAAATCTCCCTTGCTCTCCCATATTTTCCATTCTTACAAACACTATTTATGATAGCATTGTAGGTCACAGTACCAGGCCTTAAGCCCTTAGCTGGCATTGAGTTCATTACATCAAAAGCTTCTTCTAAGAGCCCCTCGCGGCAATAAGCATTTATTAGGGTATTGTAAGTGACAATGTCAGGAAAAACTCCCTTCTCCTCCATTTCAGATAAGAACACGTTTGCATCTTCAATTTTCTGTTCTTTACACAATGCATTAATCATGATATTTAGTGTATAAACATTCACCTGAATCCCACTCTGAACTATATCCTCATAGATCCCCCATGCCATGTCAACCCAACCAACTTTAACCAGCCCCCCAAGAAGGCAATTGGAGGCATTTATAGAAAGAGAAAACCCTCTACCTCTCAAAATTCGAAATGCTTCAGACGCTTCCCTGAGTTTCCTCGCCTGGACATAAGTCCTAACAAGAACATCAAAAACCACGGGATTAGAACCGCAATTTGGATAAGTTGATATCAACGAATCAACAATTTCAGCTCTTGAAACACCACTCTTCCGAACCATTCGAAGAACCAAAGACTGTGCTTCTGAAATTCTCCTACTCCTGACCAAAATGTGAATCATCGCACTTAACGAGTACGAGGAATGTCTAAAACTCGAAATTGTCGCTAAAAAATCTATAAATTTCTGACCTAACAGCAAATTTGAGCTACATTTGTAGAGGACGTCGACGATGATTAATGGATTCAAACGAGAAGACAAGTGGTGCAAAGAATTGAAGTTTTCTTGTTTCAGATTCAGAAAAACTTTTTCTACAATGAAGATATCAGAGGTAGATGTCGGTAAATCCTTTTCGTTAGCCTTCACAGGGTGTTCTAGGGTATTGGCAGCTCTAGGGTTAGGCTTTGACATAAAAGCGAAAGAGGAGTGGCGGGAGTACCTCAAGCGAGGAATTGTCATCTTAGTGATGGTGCTATGAGTTGCCGTTCGAAAAATTATCGCCATTGTTATGAGTTTTCTGGCGGGAAACTGCGCTTGGCTTATAACTGAAGAGAGACTCTGGTGTCTGCTCTGTCGAGGTGAAGGCTTACAGAGGAGAAGAAATCAGCTATTTCTGTTGGAATAGTGTTGGGCTAAAACCATGAAATCACGGCCTTAGATGTATTGTTAGATCTTAGTATTGCTTGAATTCAGATCACCTGCCAACTGTTGGGCTAAAACCATGAAATCACGGCCTTAGATGTATTGTTAGATCTTAGTATTGCTTGAATTCAGATCACCTGCCAACAAAATACATTCCAATAACCTATCAACATAATCTGACACCTCACATCTTGTAGTGATTTCGAATTTCTAGTTTCATGGTGACATCTGCGGTGTTGGATCAAGTTGATAGGGAGTTAAAACGTGTTTTCTTAGTAGGAATTCTCAACTCGTATTGTTGTGCCCACCTCTCATTGCCCTGTTGACCTGATCCGAATGTGGCCTAATTACAACTCATTACTACACTATTATCAATTCAATCTCCTGCCCACAAGAATCCTATCCACACCTTTCCACATGACAATACCCCTTAATGATTATATATAATGTAATCACCGGAGGTGTTCTTATTGTACAGCTGAAATGTAGGGTTATTGTAGGTAGGTAATCTGAACTTCGCCATTATGGTATTATCCACTAGGAAGGATCCACTCAAAGCTGTCAACGAGTTGGGTGGACCAGACCAAACCAATTAGGGGCTGAATCTGCTCACAAGAAAGAATTGTTCCAACACTATCTATCTTCACACATCACAGAACGGGATCTGCTCCTCACAGATGGTTGCCTCACAGGCATATCCACCGTGCATTGGAAGCATCTCTCGTGAATATTTATTAATAAATATGGGAGATGTTTCCAATGCATGGTAGAATGGGCATGTGAGGCACCAGGTATGAGGAGCAGATCCTGTCTCCACAGTGGGTTGCAACCTAATGGTGAGATGTGTGGATATAGATTATGTTGGTACAATTTTGTTGTAACCTGATCCCACTCCAACCAATTATGATTGTAAATGATACCATTGTTGCTTTGAGGACCTCTTTTCTTGTAGGGGAGAGGAGAATGCCATACCAATTATTGGTTTTCCTTTCAGTTCTTTCCACCAAGTAATTGAAAAGCTCTTTTTTTACCTCCCAATCTCAATTAAAAGGCCAAGAAAAATGGAAGGGTGTTCAACTCTTCTCATTTGAAGCATCTTGACCATTATTTTCTACTGAAAAATACATCGGACTTCGCAAGATTTACCTTTTGAACTGAAGCTCTCTTAGAAGCTTGAATTGTGTCCAGAATGACTTGCCCTTCAACAGGGTCAACTTTGGTGAATAGATAAATTTCATTTGCATAAAAAGGATGTGAGATAGTGAGGCACTCCCTAATCATTTTAACAACTGTGGGTTGTTTCTAGGCTACTAGATTTTTTATCTTTCTTGATAGAGCTTCAGAGATGAAGAGAAATAGATATGGGGATAGAGGGTCATTCTGTCTTAAACCCCTTTTTTAGGTTTGAAGGCTGCACTTGGGGTTCTATTCACTAGAATTTTGTATAAAATAATAGTAACACATTCCATAACCCAATTAATCCATTTTCTTCCAAATCTGAAACTTTGAAGCATTTACTTTAAAAAGGGGTATTCGATTCTATCTGACTCTATCATAAGCTTTGCTCATATCAAGCTTTAATGCCATCCATTTTTTTTTTTCCTTTTTGTCTTTTTCATGTGATCAATGACTTCATGGGCAACCAAGATATTATATTGGATAAGGCAGCATTTGAAATTTGGTGTTTATAGGAGCAATTTAACTGTAAAAAGGAGATAAATCCTTAAAATAAGAAATGTAAAGTGCAGCCTAAGTCTTCTTGGGATAAGGGCACTTTGATACTCACTAATTATTTTATTTAACAAAGGTTTCAGCCTGTTTATTAGAATTTTTAAAATTATTTTATATGCAGTGTCACAAAAGACTTATTGGTCAGAAGTGGGTTGAAGACTCTGGATTCATAACCTTTGGGATAAGAGAAATAAAAAGTATTATTCAGCTCCTTTTCAGCACGTGTCCCCTTTGGAAGAGTTGCTTAACAATACAAGTGGTTTTTGATTCCACATGACATAACTGGAAAAATAAATGTTTTTCAAAAAGCCTAGAAATTTTCCTTAATCAAATGGTTGATCATCTTGATTTCTCAGCCAAGATTTGGAAGTTTTGCTTTCAAGAATATTTGCAAAGGCAGTGGCAGAGTAGTAATAGTAGCTCCCAATATAATCAGGTTTTGAGAATTTGAGATTCAAATGAAAAGGAGAATGGATAATTATTCTACTAATTGCGTGTTTATGAGTTGAAAGAAATTAATAAGAGAGAAAGGAAAGTTGTGAAGAAATTTCACAAAATTTATCAAAAACTTCTCTGTTTCTTCCTTGTTTTCCAACCAAGGGAGGGCTAGTAGTGTTGCCCATAAACTTGCGGCGAAGGCATGGCACACAAATTTTGTAATCTAGGGAGGCTCAGATTATCTGCCCTGACTTTTCGCACTTTCCATTCAGGACTATCATTCGATGTATCATCCTTAATTTTATTAATGAAGTTTCTTTTGCTTCAAATATTTGTGACATGTTAAATCAAAATTTCAACCAACCATGTTGAAGATGTGGTATGAGGGATGAAATCATTCACTTTTTATTTTAAAGACAGAGAAAGCATGGATTTAAGCGGGGATACATCATCCTTCTCCAGATTAATTTTAAAAATATACATAGAAATGAAGTAATTTCATGATTTGAAAACAAAAAAGTAATATGGAATCATCTCCATTTTCATTTTACAAATGACTTCATTATAGATTAAGATATTGTGGATTCAAATGAAGCCACCATAATTTCCTAAAATCAATTGCTACTGAAAACTAAATGAAATGACTTAATTCAATGCGTCATAAGATAATCCGTGAATTAAAAATAGCAACCTCAGTGAGTGATGCTATAGTTGTTTTACGAATTCTTCTTTTTACTATTGTTTTTTATGTATTATTCTTTTTATCAAACCTTATACACAACATATATATATATATATATATATATATATATTGGTCGGTTTTTAACCATCGTTTTTTTCATACTGGTTAACCAAAACTGAACTGGTACCTTTGATTTTTTCAAAACACTAAACCAAAATCAAACTGATCAGTGTAATTAACTGGATTTTTTTAATTGATTATTCGATTTTTCAATTTTTTGATGAACACCCCTAATTGCAGTAGATTTGTAGATATTTTGCACTTGTATCCGTGTTTTTGATCCTATGAATAAGAATTGCACTTAAATCCTTTCTTGGCTCTCTATATGCAAAGTGATGGAAAACCTTACACGCAGTTGTTATATAAGTGCCAAGAGGTGACCCTAGTACAACCCAAAAGAATCAATGTTTCAAATTGTTCATCCATTACATACAACGTAAACCCAACCTTACACATTTAGACCAGTTATAAACATGCACCATCCTCTATTCACATACCAAATTTATCAATGGCAGAGTTCAAAACATTGGAAGCTCACAGATAATCTCAACCATTTGATCTATGATTGATCAACACAGAAATATATACCTTCAACCCAATTTTTGAAAAGCAGTTTAAAACCAATTGTTTGACCATAATATTCTTACGATTATACCCTTAAATATTTTATTATTTAATTATTTTATCTATTAAAAAGACAAAACAATAAATCTTTTACTTCTGCACTTTTAGTTGTTATCAAATGGCCCAAAGTGTGGCTAAACGTGTTATATATATGAGATCCCATTCCAATTAATTCCAATGCTGATTCTAATTTTTACTTGAACCAAACATGTTATATATATGAGAATAAACCATTTCAATTTTAGTTCCGACTGCTAAGCAAACGAACCCTTATATACAAATGTCAGTCAAATACAATGAAACAATTTGTTTTTTATGAAATAATGTGGCTAAACGTGGTACCTTCTATTTCCTAAATAAAAATTCAGAAATATCATAAAATATTATATTATATATTCCGATTTATATCCTCAGCTATAAGACCCACATGCTGATGAGTGACGATGTGAGAGACCTGCCAAATGTGGTTGATTGTACTTTGTAGAGACAAATATGCTTTGATGAGGCGACTAAGATTAGAATTTCTGGAGTCATGCAGCCGCATATTACTATTCTTTTTTCAACTCGTCACTCGTCACTTTATCATCTTATTCTTGTTGATCAAATTATCCAAATTATTCTTACTTACAACTTTATTGAAGGTTGCGATGAATTTACATCTGCGCCCCACAAACGCCTCACAGTACATCTAAATAATTGGGAACATCTTCAATGATAAGTACCAGAAATGCATGCTTGTGATGTGCTGTGGGGCGTTTGTGGGGTGTCCTGTGTAGGGTGCAGATATGAATTCAGTTGCCACTTGCAATTAGTAAAAGTGCAAAATATATACATCCATTTAAATGTATATTTGGTCAAAACAAAAAAAAGAAATCTTTATTCCCATTTTAAATGAAAAATGTTAAAAAAATCTTTTTTTTTTTTTTCATTTTAGTTACAACTTATGGTGGGTTAGTTGGAACTTGGTAATAACGCTGATTCAAATCCCGCTGCCTTTAAGGTTGGGGTTTAAGGGGACGGAGATAGGAAACTCCGATCATCTATCCCTTTTGAAAAAGCAATAATCGTTATTTTGCCTCTTTTTATTTATTTTTCAAGATCTGGATTATGATATAGTACCTCTTGTATTGTGATAAATTCTTCTTTCTATCATTCTCAACTGAATAGTATAAATAAATGAAATAAAAATGTATGAGGTGGAGCAATCTAAAAATCAAGGTTCAAAGTATCGACACGTATCGGCTGATACGTGTCGTTCCAGGACTCCACTGATATGCCCCTATAATGGGTGTATCAGGGGTCTGACCGGTTCAAGGGATGGAGGAGACCTAAACCGGCCCCCCTGAACCGGTTTCAGAAAAAAAAACTAAAAAAAAATAGTATCGATTTGCTTGATACGCCCATACCGATGTATCAGATGTATCGATATTTTGAACTTTACTAAAAATTCAACAAGAATAAAAGTATAAATACATTTTCTGCAAAACTGAAACCAAAGTACAAATTCACCACTGTTTTGCATTTGCACTACATGCATTAAATTGTGAAGAAATAAAAACCGGAGAATGATATGAAATGTGTAAAACTTGGACCA